AGGACACACAATGCCAGAGCTGGGAGGGCCCTTAGAACACAGAATGTTAGAGCTCGGAGGGTCCTTAGAACACAGAATGTCAGAGCTGGGAGGGCTCTTAGAGCACAGACTGTCACAGCTGGGAGGGCCCTTAGAACGCAGAATGCCAGAGCTGGGAGGGTCCTTAGAACACAGAATGTCAGAGCTGGGAGGGCTCTTAGGACACAGTGTCAGAGCTGGGAGGGCCCTTAGAACACACAATGCCAGAGCTGGGAGGGCCTTTTGAATCCAGAACGTCAGTGCCAGAAGGGAATCTTAGAACACCAAATGTCAGAGATAGAAGAGACTTCAGAAACAGAGAAATGTTAGAGCCAAGATGACCTTTAAAGATCATTTTCTCCAAGTCCCTCCATTTACAGGTAAGGAAGCGGAGTTCCAGGGAAATATAGGGGCTGGAGGGGAGGATGGGGAGGGAGGCAGGAATCTCTCCACTTCCCATCTGTCTCCCAGGCCTGGCAGCTCTGACAAGTAGGAAAAGAAAGTCCTGGGGGAATATCTGCCCCTCTCGGGGCTCCTAGTTCAGTGCCACCTACCTGGAAGCCTTTTGCTCTTCCTCCCCTCTCTCCCCCTCCCACCTCCAGTCACACACGCCCTCCAGGGCCTCACCTCTCCTACCTGGGACCCCGCTGCCAGGCTCAGGCCAGCCCAAGATGAAGCTCTCTGGGGAAGCCCTGCTCTGCCCAGCTAGCTGGGGAGCTCCCACCCAGACAAAGAGTTTGATTCATCAAACCCTGCGGTGAGCCAGGGAAAGGGAAAGGGAGAGGGAGGGGGTGGGGGAGGAGAGCTTGGCCTGCCCCACCTTTGCTCTGTGGCAGGGAGGGGGGGCACCACCCAGATCTCCCTTTGCCTTGAGGCAGAAATACCAGCCCCCACCACAGAGGCCCCCCCCAAAACCAGGCCCGCCCACTGGGCGAGCCTCCTGGAGAACAGAGCAGAAACAGAGGCAGGGACAGAGAGAGCCAAGCAAACCCTCAGAGGCAGAGTGAAACTCAAGCATAGACACAGGCATAGACACCAACAGGGCTTCTCAGGGACAGACACAGAGGGTTGGTTATTCAGAGACGGAGAGAAAGATACCCACAGGCATAGATACAGAAAGCTATTCAAGGACAGAGACACTCGGAGACACAGAACTCATAAAGAGATACTCAAACACAGAGAATACAGAGGTACCAGAGACTGAGATAACAGCAGAGACAGAGAGACAGAGACTGAGAGTGAGAGACAGGGAGACAGAGACTGAGAGTGAGACAGAGAGACAGAGACTGAGAGTGAGAGACAGAGAGACAGAGAATGAGACAGCAACAGAGACAGAGACTGAGAGTGAGAGACAGAGAGACAGAGAATGAGACAGCAACAGAGACAGAGAGACAGAGACTGAGACAGCAACAGAGACAGAGACTGAGACTGAGACAGCAACAGAGACAGAGGGACAGAGACTGAGAGTGAGAGACAGAGAGACAGAGACTGAGACAGCAACAGAAAGAGAGACAGCGACAGAGACAGAAAAAGACAGCGATGAGACAAACAGAGACAAAGAGACAAAAAGACTGTCAGAGGCATGGAACAAGAGGCAAACAGAGCCCCAGATTGGGGAGGAAGGTGGGGAAAGAATTCAGTCGTCCCTCCCCATCTAGACAAGCGCCTCCATTTCTCTGCTGCCCCTCCCAGCTTGTATAACTTTTCTCTTCCCAGTGATCCCGCCCCAAACTCGAGGGAGGGACAGAGCAGTCAATGGCCACAGGTGCCAGGGACAAGCCCCCAAACCTACCTGGAGATTGGTCCCTTCCTGCCTCAGAGCATTGTCTCCCCTCACCTACCTGGTTCAGAGAAAAAACAACGATTGCCCTGGAGTCAGAGACTTGGGTCCAAATCCCAGCTCTGATACTTACTGGACCTGCATGATTTGGGGCAAATTGTTCTCTGGTCCTCAGTTTCCTCGGGTGTAAAATGAGGAGGCTGGACTCCAAAGGTCCCTTCTACCTCTAAATCTATGATCTTATCGCCCCCTGACCATCCAGCTCCTTCTCCCGTCCAAGGTCAGGGTAGAATATAAGTTTCTTGAAGGCAGGTACTCTTACTTGTGGCTTTGCATCTCTAGCATCTATCAAAGTACCTAGCACACAGTAGGTGCTTTGTAAATGTTTGTTGACTGACGAATCACCTCCAGTTCCACAATCATCCACTACTCCTAGCCCAAAACATGGCCTTTTGAGGCTCAAATGAAATTATGTAAAACACTTGCAAACTAGAAAATGTTTTCTCTCTTAAAAGGAGGAGTGTCAACCACAAAGGTGATCTTTAAGGTTCTTCTCAGTTCTAGCATTCTCTGTTTTAGGGCCTTCCCAGCTCTGACATCCTGTGTTCTAAGGGCCCTCCCAGCTCTGACA